TCCATATCTTCTCTCCCCAGTTATGGGTTAAATAGTAAAACAGCCTGGGCTCTTCGGCCTTTGTTGACAGCCAGGCTAGGAGAAGGAAAACCCTGAATTCAAATACATATATAGCCATGGCAAAGCAGCTAAAGAAATGATTATGGAGTTCACAATAATTCTATGATCCTGACTATATTCTTTTTTAATTTTTGTTACATCATACTTGCATTAAAGCAAATAAATTTCAAAATAGTGGCTGCAGTGCATGGGGACTACAAGTTAAACGGGTCAGATGAACATTTATTTCCAAAACATTTTAATGGGGTTTTCATTCTTCTACTAACAACTATAAATGAGAACAAACCTTAAAAAAAAACAAAAAAAAACAATGTTTTGATTTGCAGATGTTTAAAAAAATTTTAGGGCTATTAAAATGGTGTCTAGGATGGTTCCAGGATGATGGTGCAAAAAGTTATCCGGGACTGTGGTTGACACTCAAGATGGACTGCCTTACATATCCAAAGGGCTCCTGCTGATCAACTACTTACCTATTGCTGATATGAAAAGTGGATTCATGGTTTTCCCAAGTGCATAATCAATGAAAAGTCCTGCATTTTAACTGATTTTCAATTGTAAACCATTCAAGGATGTGTTAAAATGCCACAACGTTTTTAAAACTTATTAACTTCTATTTCTTTCATCTTCATTTTAATCACAACGACACAAGGGAGATAACTGATATAATGATATTTGAATTTTGAAGCAGTTGACAACCATTATTAATGTTTGACTTGTATTTCTTTCGTCATGATTTTAATTATTTTTTATCACAACGGCACAAGGGAGATAACTGCTATAATATTTGAATTTCTCAGATGAAGCATTTATCAACCATTATTAATTTTTGACTCATTTTTAAATCTTAATTTGAATTGATTTTTATTGCAACGAGACAGTTGTCATAATGTTATTTGAATTTGTCTAATGAAGCATTTGTCAACTATTATTAATGTTAACTTATATTTTAAACCTCTGCTACCTTGTGGTCATATCCAAACATGGAAAAGGCAATAGAAGAAAATCCGGAGAGGATTCCTGAAGGCAGATGGTTATCAACACTGACAACATTCCAGTAACTTCTGAAACCAAGCCAAACCTAAATGTAGTGTTCTGTATTCCTTTGGATCAGCTGAGATGTAGGGATCATATAGCCTGGGCAGTGCATGGTCTCCATGTATCATTGTCCAGGTCTGTGCCCTGGAAAGGTTATTCCAGTCTCACCACCAAAGGACTTGACCAAACAGGGCAAGATAAGTGGATGCCTATATATATATATATATATATATATATATATATATATTCAAGTAGAATATTCTGTAACCATGGAAACGTGATTTTAGCTGTGTCTTTAAAACCTGGTAATTTTTAAAAGTTACTCCAAAATTCGCTTGAAGATGAAATGGAACTGATGCTTTTAATTTAATTGCAAAATTAAATTCGGGGTTTTTAGCTTCTATTTTCTATTCATGGTTAGAACTGTGTAGCAGAAAAAGACCATATTTTAAATCAATTAATTTATTATATTAATGCTCTGTAAATTTACATTGAGCACTATTTTGTAAAAATAAAAATATCTATAAGAACACGGATTTTATATCTTACTGTTCTTTCTTTTTATATATATATATATATATATATATATATATATATATATATATATATGTATATATATATATATATATATATATATATATATATTATTTGCATGCAGTCCTGTTTCGGTGTATCACAGCTCATCAGTGCAACTAGACAACCGAATGCTTCAAGCCAGGATCGAAACCTGACCAATTTGGTATCAGTCGGATTTCCTACCCCTAAGCCATCTGTGCTTCAACAGAGAGAAAGATGAATTGTGGGTAACTCATTTCGCCCATTGTTTGCAATGACTGAAATGGATTAAAGTGCTTGCTTTCGTCCAGTTCTCCGATCTACCAACTGAGCTGTCGCTAGTGACCTCTTATTCTCTCAGTCTCATTAGTGCACCATCACACCAATAATGCGCTCTGTTGTCTTATTCCCATACTCACTATTTATGTCCATGTCAGGGGCAACTACAATTATTATTGAGATGACCATTACGTCGGGGTTTCGAGCAGAGATGACTATGGTGGAAGTCAAGGTTATAGAGGTGATCCCATGTATGGAGACAGATACAGTGACCAGGGGAGAGACAGGAATCGAGACCAGGATTGAGGACGACATAAACCATTACCCACTGAACCACCCTACACAGTCTTTGTAGGCAACCTGCCATTAGTGCAAGGGGATTTAGAATTTTATGGTCTCAATGTTCAGAATGTACGATTGGTAAGAGACAAGGAAACAGACAAATTCAAGCTGGTTTGAATTCTTAGTCTTTTTTTATTATTAATTTTTTTTCCCCTGCACGTCTACCTGCGATCTTTCAACAGGACCTGACACACCAAGCAAATTCGCTTTGCGGGAGCTAAGTCTTCTTGTTCCTCACATGAATTCTAGCATATTGTTTTTACGAATGTAAACAAACACCAGACAGCTAGAGTGCTCTATTCATTAATGAAGAACAATAAAGTCAAGAGGAGAAACTATTCTTAGCTGACACATTTCATCTTCTGAGGGAGTTTATCAAGGCAAATGCATCAGTTAAGAATATTTTTCCCTCTTGTCTTTTTATTCATTTTTTTGTTCTTTTACAGATAGACTCTATCTAAGAATAATTTACACACACACATATATATATGTAAATTATTTCATTTATTAGTGGAAAATAATTTACATTTATTTAATTGTGACCAACTCATTAATCTCATTAGAGCTATTCAAGAAAAACATCTGATTTTGGCAAATTGAAAAGGTGTCATTTTCTATCACAACAATGCCAGATCACATATTGCAAAAGCAAAACAGACCTTTTAGAAACTTAAAGAATTCAAATGGAAAATTCCTAATTTGGTTCCATTGGATTTTCATTTGTTCTAGTCTCTACAGAATAATTTAAATGGCAACAAACATTGACATTGTGCAGTCAAAAACAGAAAACTGTAGGTAAATATCTCACTTTGGTTGAGATAAAGTCCCATGAGTTACATGTTGGCTGCTTAGTGGTATTACTTCATAGAGCAATGAAAGTGGCCAGTCAGTCAGTTATCTTCCAGGAGTAAAACCAAGCATTTGCTTTTTGTAGTACAAGTCTGAGGCTAAATCTGTTCCACCTGAGCCAAGGCTAATACTTCCTTCCCAGGGTGTGTTGCCAAAGGGTCAGTTTACATTCCAATGATGCCATTTTTGGGGGGGAATATATCTTCTGATATTTCTGATATAGAAACTATCTCTGGCTTGCAGTCCTTATGTGGGAAATACGGATGATTCACCATTACCTGTTTGAAAAATATGTTCTCACTAGTGACAGAAGATAAATTCCTCATTAGGAAATATAAATATGGCTTCTGTTAACATAATGTTCTGTGATTGGGGTTGCAGCATTTAATGAAGTTTTTTTTTATTTTGGTGGTTACTGACTGGGAATTTGCAAACACAGTTTGAAAGAGTTGGTATTTGGACTTATACTAAGTTAAAACCTAATTATTTTATATTTTTACCCCCTCTCCTTATGCAACCACTTTCTCAGATCAACAGTTAAAATGGCTTTGAGTGAATGAAACAAATAGGTCTTAGCAAGGACCATTTATCTTCGAACCTTGTGGACTAGTGTACAGAATCATGAACAAAGAACTGTACAAAATAACAGAAGCCAAATCATTTGAGGATTTTCAACAACAGCAACAACTATAATTGATTTCACATCTAACTTGAAGTCAAAATAATGAAATAATCAAAATGTTGACTTTCCACACTACTTTAAACCAAAAGTGAGGAAGGAAATTTCCGAAATACTGGAAATAGCAATAACATTTAGTGAACTTGAGAAACCTGTTTCCTGAAAAATTGTTTTAATAGAAATATTTTATAAATTTCAACCGATGGTAGCACAAGATGCTTGGTCAATGATTACCAAATATTTCAGTATCTAAACATGCAATGAAAACAGCAAAAATTGCGATATGAGCACTTTTAAAAAATGGTTACTGAAGACATTAGGTTTATAATACCTAGAAATTCATACACAGCTGTCATCAAGGACACATGGCACAGTGGATAAAGGTGTTAGTTAGATCCAGTGACAGTTCAATATCCGGTTAAGGCAGTGAGGAGAATTAACAGGAGATAACTGATAACAGGAGATAACTGACATCCATTAGACATGGCACATGGAACTAGAGTCTACCCCAGTGAGCAAAATAAAGGGTTCAGTTCGACATTCCAACCACCTGAAGAAAGCTGGAGCCTACAACAGCCGAAACGTTTGTAATAAATATTGCGACAAAGATGAGGATAATAGTTCAAATAATGTAAATAGTGTACCAATTATCATCTGTATGTGAAAAATATAATAAAATCATTATGAGTTATCTCTCTTGAGTAGTTGAACTAAAAATCAACTAAAATTAAGATGGAAGAAATATTATTTTTTTTACTAATATTACTAGTGCATGCAAAAAAGAATAACATGAAATATCGTGCTGAGAGATTAGGAAGAAATTAAGAAGAACTTATATAATCTTCAGCCAACTATAAATCTCTTTTGGCACAAGTGATTAAACAGTTATAAGAGAACAGACTTCACAAAGCAAAAGTATGAGTTCAAGCCTAGCTGAGAATTTATTCTTTATTTCTGATACATGATGTTGACTAATAGCTATAGACTGTTGGTAATTAATAATTGTTGATAGATGCTTCATCTGAATAATTAAAGTAACATTATGGCAGTTATCTCCCTTGGGTTGATGAAATGAAAAGCAATTAAAATTAATATGAAAGAAATATGATACAAAAAATTAATAATGGATGTATAATTTTTATTTTTTTGACATGTAGTGTCAACTCAAATAAAGTTAAAGTAAATAATGAAATAAACAAACCTCAAAATCTTTTTGCTTCCATGCTCCATGGTACATACTCTGAAGATTATCTTTTATGTATCCTTCTATACCGTAAATATTTTCCATCAGGACGAGAGGATTATCAAAGTCTTCCTGATAAATTTTCTTTAAAAGATAAAATTTAAACACATATTAGTTTAGTATAAGCATTTAAAAAAATTAATGTCAAAGTTTGGGGGAGTTTGGAAGCTAATTACATATTTTACAACTATGAATTATGTGTCAATCAATCAAGCCAGAAGCAAAGTTGAATGGTATGAAACCCTGTCTAGAATTAGTTTATGATCTCTTCTATTCAACAATGTGTTTATTGTATCCTGTCAACACTCCCACATTTTTTTAATAACAACTGAAAGAAATAGCTTAACCAGCGATCATTGTAAAACTGATCCAGGATATAAAAAGGCCTCAAAGGCACAAAAAATGCGGCTAGATCTGTTTCAGCAGCCTACAGCTCCAGTCATCGTCAACAGAGGAAGTCTTGTGAGGCAATCGTCTTTCTCATCAGGATCTAATCTGATTCTTTGAGCATCAGCTCAAGATGAAGATTAGAACTGATAGAAAAAGCTTCAGCGAAAGGTAGGTGAAAAAGGAGAGCTTGGTTTGTTTGAACGGCACTAGCCTTGATTTTCTATTCTAGGTCAACCTATGTCACATCAGGGTGGTTTTCTGCAGAGCCCTCCCCTTAGTTAGGTTAGACAGGATTTTGTGTACCTAGTTAATGTGAGTAAGTGTTGTTGCTGGCCTGTTCCCAGGCCACCTCTTTGGTTATGATTCAAGTCGAGATTCCCAACCTCCCCAGTTCGTTTTGGCCCCCTTTTTGTCTCGAGTGGGTCAGCTTTATATTTTCCCCATGTCCATCTACATTTTCACCTTCCCACTCCCTTAGCGAGAGAGCCTTTTGATTTTGTCCAATGGGCAGAATACAGTGGCCTCTCCTTTTTGAGGGTTGGATGGGCCCTACTGACATCAGTTATGTTTAGTTTACTTTGTGTTGAGTTTTAGTTTTATTATTGGGTTCATCTCCCTCCCCTCTCATTCTTCATTATTAGATTTTTATATATATATATATTTATTATCATTAAATTGTTAAGGCATGGGGGTGCGTTTTGTACGTTTCCCCTTGAGAGGATACGGTATTATGGTGGATGGAGGATTGAGTGGTGACAGACGAAATCTTATGGTGAATGTGGAAACTGTAATGTTTGAATGGGCCGTGAATCAGATTAGCTAGATATAAGATAGTTAGTGGCAACCAGCCTCAACCCCTCTCCATTTTCGCCTTGTGCCACAATTGTATTTTATATACAATAAATATCCTACAGCTCCAGCCATCAGCAACATTTCCAGTTTGCCACTTCAGCCACCTTTGCCAGTAGCAAGATGCAATAAACTGTCCTTTTCAGGACAATGCTCTTCAGCAGCTACCAAAACTGTCCCTCACAGGGCAATGCACTTCTCAATCTCAACATGCAGAGATATTTTCTGCCTAGTACACTGTATAACCTTATTTCTGTTGATGTATTTTCTTTAACGAAAATAAACTTGGCAATATATTTTTTACTTGGGTCATTGTTTTGTTTGTTGCAAATATATCACCTGCAAGATGTTATAGTCTATTGCAGAGCTTAATTCCATGGAGGATTATAACTTTAAAAATCAAAATATTTGCTATGTATTCTTAAAGAGTAGTACTACTACAGAACCATTTAAAAATATTTGTGCAGTATGTACAGATGTGGTGAAAGCTCATACATGTTAGCGATGGCTTAAAAGATTTAAAAATGGTTATTGTGACATATTTGACAAGACTTGCTCTGGAAGACAACCTTCTCTGAATGAAGAACTTTTGAAAGATTCAACTGAATTGGATCTATGTCAAAGCACCAAAGATTTTTTTAAAAACTGAATGTGTCATATTAATGTCCCACAGGGACAAGGCAAAGGGCCATCAAAGAAGAGACAGTCTAGATGGAACCAGTTACCAACCATCTGTCTAGAAACTTGAAGTTCACAAGTGAAAATTCTGCTGCAGTTAGACAACAGAGAGTGAGAAGAATTCAAAGAAATATTCCCAAGCACAAACAGTATGAATTTTAAAGGGATATATATATTTAAAGGGATATATATATACAAAAGGCACTCGTGGGCCAAATAAAAGTAGGTGTTTTTGTTTTTACTGAAAGGTGGTTGAAACTTTTGTGGCCTTCTTGAATTAATTTCTCTTTTTGTCATTGAATCCTTGTGTCTTTTTCTAAACTGTATGGGCATGTGGCCTAGTGGTTAGAATGTTCGCTTTCTGACCATGAGTCCCAGGTTTGAATCTCACGATGGTTGATTTGTCTAGGACGAAACTTTCTGATGTTATCGGAATGGATCAAGGCATGCAGCACCTTTGAAAAGTGCCTGAAAACCATACCACATTGACCCAAGCCTTTTGAATGAAATTGGGTAGATGGAACTCTTGAGGGCCGTTGAAAGCTGTGCTAGCACAAAGCCACAAATCATTGTGGCCTAGGGCTTGAGTGTGCTGGCCTTGTTGAAATTGTTGGTCACGCTAGATAACACATTCTCTCCCAGAAACTGTAACTAAGATCTGCTCAGCATAGTTGCAGTATAAACCACAGGTGGGCTCTGTGGGTGTTGAGCAAATACAAATGTGACTGAGCGAGCATCTGCAATAGGGATTGGCTTGCCAACCTAGTAGACGGGTATCCTCAAATACAAGTGGGCAGCTATTAAAAATCACATTTTTTTTCCATTTTTCAATGGTAATCTTATTTCGAAACATCAGAAATTTGTTATCCTGGTTTAATAAGTGCACAAAAGGAAACTTTTGTGCAAATCTTGTATTTGTACCTTTTTTGTGTAATAAATGTTTTTCTTTTAGAATTTTACACAGTGGTTGAGTTTTATTTTGTTATTTGCACCCATTTTGACCTCAAGCTGATGTTCTTTCTATCTATTCTATTCCTACTAACTAGATTTTTATGTTTGGCACAAGAATTTAGATTAGGTAGGGAGTTAAAAAATTTTATAAGAGAAATTAAAATCAAGGTCGGGTCTGCTGCATCAGTAGGTAATTACTGATGAGAAAATGTGAAGTAATGGATAGCGACTGAGGAATCGGAGAGCCAAGTTCGGATTCCAGTCAAATCCATTACATTCACTTATGTGTTAATACCTTTGGGAAAGGTATGAATCCTCTTGTCCTCCCCACAGCTATGGGTAAAAAGCAGGACAGACCAGGTTCTATAGCCTTGGATGGTAACTGGTCTACCAAAGAAAGAAATGGCAACCTACTGCAGGAACAAAATCTTCCTTGTCAGTCATGTATCTACCCATGGAGACTGTTCCATGGGAGTTCTAATAAAGTTTGTTAAACTGTTAATTTGTGTTTGTCATCGCTTCTACTATCCAAGTAGCATTGATTAACTTTCTGAGATGAATATTACCCTTGTGAATAAAATAGTGTATAAGACCTTGAAATATGGTAATTTTATGCTTATTTATTTAATAATTTTAATGAAGTGATCAAATGATAATGTAGCTTTTTGTCTCTAGATGACTTTGTGGTGCTATTTTTCTGTATGTTCTGCCACTTTCACTTAATTCTTACTTAGGACTGTAGAATTCTTTACAAGGGTTGTCCTAGAAACTCATCAAATTTGATTAAGTGCTAAAGTATGAAATATGAAATTCTATGAAGCTGGAGCAACTTTATCCAATGCATGGATATGTTTTAATCGCATTTATATATTGTTTACAATTTCTCACTAAGTATCATAATGAAGCAACAACAGAAATCTATACTGAAAACAGGAAAAAAATGGAATTTCCTAAAAGCTGAAAGTGAATTTAGAAAAACTTGAAACAGAAAATTGGTTCCTCTACAATTGTATGTTGTAATTTGCCAAATTAGGGGATATGGGATTTTGACCCCTTTTGATTTATGCACCCAGTATTTATGACCTTTGGAATTATGACCCTGGATTTCTGATTTGGGATTTGAATCACTGATTGCTATTTTTCCAAAATGATAAAACATTTTACATAGAATTTTTTCCATTTTGTCTTTCAATTACCCAACATTGTTCTGACATATACAAATTTATATATCATATAACTAGGCATTTTATGCCAATGACACAACTATTTACTCCTGTCTTAGTCCCACAGATCCAACAAAATAAACCTGGCAACTAGTCTCAAAAAGGAGCTCCAATTAGTGGTTAACTTGGTGGATGTGATGGCTTGTAAATTTTAAGACTTCCAAAACAAAACTACTTTCATTTAATCATAACAGAGAACCTTTTCTACTGCTATCAACATGGCTGATGCTAAACTCCAGAAGAGTAACACTTTCAGCCTTCTTCCTCTCAGATGAAGTGGAGTGATTACATTGAATCAATTGCTAGGTCTACTGCTAGGAAAGTTGATTCACTGTGTCATGCTAGACAATTTTTCTCATCAGAATCCATCTTTCACATTTATAAATCTACCATTCATCTGTGTATGGAATACTGCTGCCATATCTGGTCTGTATCTCTTGAGATTCAAAGAAAGGTCTGAAATGTAATCAATCCTGACCTGGCATCTCAGCTTCAGTCACTTTCTCATCAATATGATCTGGCTTTCTTCTGTCTTTTCTATAAATGTTTTCATGGCAAGTGTTTTGTTGAGTTTTTTCCTTCGTGCCTTGACTACATGAATTTAAGCATGCTACTAGATTGGCAACTGGGTCTTATTTTACTGTTGTACTAGCTAGATGCAATCGCCTCTTCTATTCTAACAATTTCTTTTCTCTCACTTCTTGTCTGTGTAACACCTTACCAGTTTATTACTTTCCTAACACTAGCAATCATCAAAAATTTAAATGCAAAGTCATTCGCAATCTTTTGTGTTCCTCAATCCTGTCCACTTATTGTACTTTTCCTCATTTCTCTGCACTTTCTCTTTCACTCCCTGTAATATGATGTATTCTAGTGGCATTATCACCTTGCTTGGGGTGAAATAATTAAAAAATTCTCCCATATTCTGTTTAATGAGTTGATTTTAATTCACCTGAAACTCTTGCTGTTAGTCTAAAGGTCCTAAACAAAATCCAGAGACGGATATGCAATGTGATTGGCCCTGATCTGACATATCATTTACAGTCGCCCTCTCACAGACATGCAGTCGCTTCCCTCTGTCTTTTCTACAAATACTTTCACAGTAACTGCTCCAATGAACTACTTTTGCTGGGTCTCAAACTGCATGAATTTAAACGTGCTGCTAGGTTGGCATCTCAGTCCCACTCTTTCACTGTCAAAACAGTTAAATGTAGCAGTCTCTTTTACTCCAACAGCTTCATGTCTCGCACTTCCCGTCTGTGGAACTCCCTTCCTCTTACTTGCTTCCCTGATAGCTATAATCTCCTACTATTCAAATGCAGTGTCAATCAACATCTCCAGATGCTTTGATTTATTTCCCGTCCTTCTCTTCATCCTTTCCTCTATCACGCCTCTTTACTCTTGCTCCCACTCTCTGTAACCGCTTGCATGTGAGGTGAAATGCTTAAAAAGAAAATCGTGTCAGTAGGTACAGAGAGGTATGGCATAGGGTAGAGAGAAACTATCTTTTACCATATCTTGTAATTGCACTATTTTTATATACTACTGTTCCCTCAGGACAAAGCCAAAGAGCCATTCAAGGAAGAGCATTACTAAATGAGGTTGTTTTAAGGGCATATAATAAAGGTTGTCTCTAGACTCGATGAGGTCAAGATTACTGTGATTAGGGTAGTATCGTGTCATGAGCCTGTTCTGGGGAAGAAACTGTTTGAGTGATACTTTCTCCCTTACTAATGGAATGCGAAGGGAAGGATGATGATTATACCATGTATACATGGCAAAGTGGGTTTCAGCTGTGAAGGTCTGAATGGGTGGAACTAAGGAATACAGCAGTTCTGAACTTTAGCCATGGAAATAGCAATAGAGTAGGAAGGGGTTTAGTTGTGTAGATCTGAAATGTTAGAACAAAGGCACGTAGCTCATCTGAATATATTTGCCTAGAAATAGTGATAGTGTAGTGGAGGCTTATCTGAGAAGAACTGAACTGGTGGAATAAAGGAATGTATCTCTTCTGAACATTAGCTATGGAAATAGCAATAGTGTAGAGTGAGGCTTAGTTGTGATGGACTGAACTGTTAGAATAAAGGAATGTATCTCTTCTGAACATTAGCTATGGAAATAGCAAGAAAGTGGTGAGAGGCTTACCTGTGAAAGTCCAAAATGGTGGAATTGAGGAATCTAGTTCTTCTCAACATTAGCCATGGAAATATCAATAGTGTAGTGACAAGCTTAGCTGTGAATGTCAGAAATTGTGGAACTTACATACGTAGCTCTTCTGAGCATATTTGCCATGGAAATAGCGATAGTGTAGCCAAAGGCTTAGCTGTGAAGGTCTGAACTAGTGGAACTATGGAAGGTATCTCTTCTGAACATTAGCCATGGAAATAGCGATAGAAAAGTGAGGGGCTTAGCTGTGAAAATCTGAACTGGTAGAGCTAAGGAATGTAGCTCTTCTGAATGTATTTACCATGGAAATAATGATAGTGTAGCCAGAGGCTTAGCAGTAAAGGTCTGAACTAGTGGAACAAAGGAATGTAGCTCATCTGAACATATTTGCTATAAAAATAGAGATAGAGTAGCAAGAGGCTTAACTGTGAATGTTTGAAATGGTGGAACTAAGGAATCTACCTCACGTGAACATTAGCCATGGAAATAACCATAGTGTAGCGATAGGGTTAGCTGTGAAGGTCTGAACTGGTGGAATAAATGAATGTATCTCTTCTGAACATTAGCCATGGAAATAGCGATAAAGTAGGGAGAGGCTTAGCTTTGAAGATCTGAACTGGTTGAACTTAGGAATGTAGCTCTTCTGAAGATATTTGCCATGGAAATAGCAATAGTGTAGCCAAAGGCTTAGCAGTGAATGTCTGAAATGGTGGAACTAAGGAATGCTTTTGCATTTAATGAAATTTGGAGAGACATGCATGACATGTTTTACATATTATCCATGTCATATTTTCAGTATAAATTTTTAGAAAGTAATGATGAATTACTTACCTTAATATCAACAATAATGATTTTACCATTTCTCATATTCTGATAATCCATTAATTTGGTAGCCTGGTCTCGTTTTTCATCAGACTGTTTTCTCAAAAATGCTTTCAGGCCGGGAAATTCACTGTATTTCTCATCCATTATGCCTGACTAAAATGCAATCATGAAAATAATGTAGGATTTATATGGCACCTATATAGACACAAACACACATACACGCACATACACACAACCCATGCACCCACACAAATCAGAAAAATTAAAATTACAGTTTTTTCAATAATTTTTTTCAAAATGTATGCAAAAGTTCCCAACATTCTTTTTTGAAACTGCAGACTAAATGCACAATTGAAAACCAGTTTCTCAATTTGCACACATTTTTTTTTTAATCAATATCACCACATGCAAGGCAGTAAAGACACAGAGATGCAAGTAAAAGAGTTGAGTGTAAAAGAGTAAAAAGAACATTGCTAAGGAGTGAGAACAGAGGAAGAATAATCAGGATGACAGCAAATAGTGATTGATATTGGATTGAAATTTTTGCAGATTAACATTGGCTGGAAAGCATGGAGCTGGGAGGGAATTTTATGATACAAGCAAGAAGTGTGAGCAAAGAAACTGTTAGCATAGAAGTTATGGCTACATCTAGCCAGCCCAACTGTAAACTAATGAGATCTCAATGCCAGTCTGGTACTGTGCTTAAATTCAATAAGTCTAGGTACCATTTGTCATGAAAAGATCGAACTAATGGAATTATCGAATATATCAAACTACATAACATTTTTTATACTCACTTACAAATACATTGACTCTGCTATTACAAGTTACTTCTCATTGATTTTTTAACACACAACACATATATATAACTTTAAATATTATTATAGTGGATACTTGTATTCAAAATAGATGCTCCATTTTTTGAAAAGATAGTGTGTATCATGTCAATTGGTTTGTGTGTTCAAAAAATTTATAATAAATATGCTCTCTGGCAGGGATTGAACCTGTTTCTCCCTTTATATGTGAAACCACTGTTTGATCTGATATGATTTACCACTTAGCTACAGAGAGCATCACAGTTCAGCAAGGCTGTATTTTCTATCTGTCTATCTATCAATCTCTCTCTCTCTTTTCATGCTACATTGCCTTACGAAGCATTTAAACATGGCCATTACATTCTGGCCAGTTTCAAAGCAAGAAATGTTAAGTGTTGGTGTGTATGTTTTGATAAAAAAGTGTTTCAATTATTTTAAAATATCGTTTACATTTAGATTTTTTTTAAAAGGACAGTACAGGGTGTCCATAAAGTTCGTGTGCACTTTAAAAAATTTACAACTTTATTTGTATTTGCGATAGAAATAATTTGTAAAAAGGATTAGAAAGAAGTAAATCTATATTTTTCAAGGTTTTATTGAAATTTTATTGAAGTTTCAACATGTCCTCCATCATTTGCAATACAAAGGGTAATACGATTTTGCATTTCACGGAAAACATTTGCCAACTGATTTACAGTAATGCCCGAAATCACATTAGTTATTTTAGATATACTTAAAACTAGATACATTAAACTTTATAACGTTTTTTACAGATTATTTCTATTGCAAATACAAATAAAGTTATAAATTTTTTAAAGTGCACACGAACTTTATGGACAGCCTGTATTGTCTATAAGGATTTTTCTTATAGATGTGGGGAGTCAAGAATGAGTGTTTAAGTGCATTTTTATGAAACTAAGGTTACTTAAGTGGTTAGTTAGTCATCTACTTAATGAGTTTGTCATGTTACTAATGTATTCATTTGTGGTTTTATTTTTATTACAGGGTTTATAGCCTTGAAGTTGACAATTGAACTTATAGATTTCATTGGCAGTCTGAAATTTGGATTTCCTAGATATGTTCTTATTTTAATTATGATGTTGACTGATTAATTTTCTATAGTATCTACAAAGTTTTACATGTCTGTTAGGGTCTATAGGTAAAATGTATTTTTTTCGTGTGTCACATGTTGAATTTATCTTGCTTATTATGGAAACTGAGTGGATTAATGTATAACCTCTTGGATTGAGAAATTGGAGGGATGAGTTTGAATTCTAATTGGGCTTGTTACATTCACAAATACAGATACCCTGGAGAAAAATATGATTCTAGCTCTTCTTCCACAGACTGGGTCCTATAGCCTTGGGTGGCAACCAGTCTAGGAGAAGAACAACTCTGAATTCAAAATTGAGTTCCCAAGTGTAGCCAGAGGCTTAGCAGTGAATGTCTGAAATGGTGGAACTAAGTTATGTAGCTGATCTGAACATATTTACCATAGAATTAGTGATAGAGTAGTGAGAGGTTTATCTGTGAATATCTGAAATAGTGGAAGTGTAGGGTGAGGCTTAGCTGTGAAGGTCTGAACTGGTGGAATAAATAAATGTATCTCTTCTGAGTATTAGTGATAGAAATAGCGATAGAGTAGGGTGAGGCTTAGCTGTGAAGGTCTGAACTGGTGGAATAAATAAATGTATCTCTTCTGAGTATTAGTGATGGAAATAGCGATAGAGTAGGGTGAAGCTTAGCTGTGAAGGTCTGAACTGGTGGAATAAATAAATGTATCTCTTCTGAACATTAGCCATGGAAATAGCAATAGTATAGGGCAAGGCTTAGCTGTAAAGGTCTGAACTGGTGGAAGAAATAAATGTATTTCTTCTGAGTATTAGTGATGGAAATAACGATAGAGTAGGGTGAGGCTTAGCTGTGAAGGTCTGAACTGGTGGAAGAAATAAATGTATTTCTTCTGAGTATTAGTGATGGAAATAACGATAGAGTAGGGTGAGGCTTAGCTGTGAAGGTCTGAACTGGTGGAATAAATAAATGTATCTTTTCTGAAGCCATGGAAAGTGGTTGGTGACTAAACTGGCTTTCCCACTAGACCTTGAACTGGTGAGAAGTGCAAATAGAACCTCAGAAGTACAAATACAAGAGCCTGTTAAAGGGTGGCTGAACTCCTCAGAGTTAACAGCCAACTATAGGTTAAATAGCCTCATTGACTGACAACTGGCCAAACATGATGGGCACAGCTACACCCTTGGAGACATTGTCCATCAGAGAGAGGTTTCTCCAACAGGAGTGAAAAGGAGTTGGATAATTTTTATGCATTTGGTTGCTGTAAAAGCTATCAGTGTTATGTTGTATATTTTTAGTGTCGATACTGTTTTATTGCTGCAAGTATAATCTTATTAGGTTATCAATAATATAGTTGGAGAAACTGTTGTTTATTAAATGATTAAAGGAAAAATGTTTCCCTCTATGGCAACACTTGGCCACATATGGTAAGAATTACATGGAAAGAATTTTGGAATTTTGTTGGTTTCTTTTGCCCCCACCTACTATATTCCCTTGACTTTGTACAAATTGATTATTACTTTTTTGATTGCTGCAAAACACTTTGACGGGGAAAACTTTCTCCAAAGAAAACCAGATTCAAGTGTTCGTTAAACACTTTTCACATCAAAATAAAAAAAATATCACAATATTTAATTTTTTGATGTTTTATAAGTAAAACTTCAAAATCACTGTTCATTTATCTGTAAGTTAAAAGTGATTTAAGGCTTAAATAAACGTGGTTTATTTTTCATGGTTGATTTGTCAAGGATGTGACCCCTTGAAAATATTGGTCTGGGGAAGGGATCCCAGAGTGTGGCACTGATGGGAAGTGCCTGAAAGCCATACCACAAATTAGCCCAAGTCTTGCGAATAAACCTGAGTAAACAAAACTGCAAACAATCAATAGTTGTGCTGTTATGATGTAATAAGTCATCATGACTGAGAGTATGAATGCACTAGCCTTCTTCAGTTATTGAGCACACAAAATTACTGTATATTTCCATGTATAAGGTGACCTATAGATAAGATGAACCCAAAGTCTAGTTAAATTTTCAGGATTTTATCTGATACCCATAGTGTAAGATGACTAACTGGGACTTATATGACAAAACTGTAAATGAAGTTGTTTATGATAAGCTCTTTGTATCAGATGATGATCGTTATAGAAATTTTGAAAGTTTTTAATTATGTATGTAGGTGTCATGTTTTTTTATTCTATAATGAAAAATAAAGATTTTATGGCATCTTAAATGTTTTGTTGCTTAACACAGCAAAAACAACCCCAAAAACATGTTATTGAAAAATAAAATTTGTATGTTATACTAAATGTTGTTGTTATTTAACACCACAATAATAATAAATTTTAATTAGAAATATAGATTGTATGTTATCCTAAATGTTGTTATTTAACACTACTAAGAGTAATAATGATTGGCGTAAATGCACCTATGGCTCTACAAATCAAAAACGAAAGATTTGTTTACATTACTTGTTATTTGTGTATGTTACTTAGTGGAACATTTACAAGTTGTTATTTGTCTCTTGAATATTGTATTTTAATGGGAAAACAAGAAGTAAAAGTAGTTTTAATGCATTTATAACTGTCGTACAGCATTATAATGTGAATTGTTTAAACTAGAAATATTTACATAGGTAGTTACCATACCAAGGCAGTTGTTAGCCTACTGCTATCCATGGTGCAAGCATACTAGCCTACTTACCAGTGCTGATACATTACAGGATTTAAGGTTAGCTTTTTGTAACTGTTGTATTAGATGATCCCCTATTTCGGAAGGGGGGGGTAATTTTTTAAGATTTAAAGGTCACCTGATACATGAAAAATATGGTATGTGCAAATGAAATTGTTGAACAATTCCATGAGCAATTGAAGACTGCACAGGCACTGGTAGATAATTTACCTCCTGTTCTACTTTCAATACAAAATGTCATTAAGGAAGATATTGGATCTACATCTTCAGAAATAGTTTTTGATACTTATCTGACCCTACCAAGTCAACATTTTGAGGACTGTTAAAATGTACAATCATCCACAACCTTTCTAGGAAATTTTAAAGATAGAATGTCTAGCTTGACTATCTTTTTTGGCTATCAGAATTTCAACCTGGCAGATATATATACAGATCTTTATAGATCTTTATACATGTGAGTACCCCTTTGTAAGAAATGATAGCATCAAAAGCCATTGTGACCAAATTATTCAGGATCTTACAAAGTACTCAAATAAGCTAAAAATGCGCTACAGTTTGAAAAAATCATAAACACACCACAGTTACTATAGACCAATTAAAACCAGCATGTATTGATCAACAACAGCATCCAATCAAACAGAATCCTGTTCAATAGACAACTACCACTGTTTTTAACAAGGAGAATGATCAAAACAGAACTACTAAATCTTGACTCCATGTCAAATAGTCTGAACATTATAAATATATATTAGATATTGATAGATTGCTATGAAATAATTTCTACCAATCTAGAGGGGTGGGGTTGTTACACCTCCACAATCCTAAAAGATACAGATGTAGCCATGATTAAAGCAAATCAGAACTAAGGATTAAAAGTTGACCAATCAAATGAAAGATCAAGAAACTAAAATCATTAAGTTGAACCTATCACTACCTATATAAGCAGAGGAAAATCAGAATTTAAACAGTTTGTGATATAGTGAGTGGAGAAGCACGTACATTGACAAATAATGAACAACACATCTGGTTGACACATCAGCATTGTAAAATTCCACTCATTACTCCTGGATGAGGAATTTGACATGAGAACTTACTTCCTGCTGATAGATAATTGGATTAATTTGTAAGTATAAACTTTGCATAATAAAGCCAAGTACACCTCCAAAAAGCTTACACATGTGATTTATGACCAGTGTTTGCCATTCCCACAATGAACCAATTTTGCTCTGACATAGATTTATCCTTTTTTTCCCACAGCACAAGAGTTGTTATTGTTTGTTGTATAAATCAATGTTTGTGTTTATTCATATTTCTATAGATGGAGGCATTGATACCTTAGGACCGAAGAAACAAATTGTAGTTATTGCACCATCTAGAAATGCACTAGCCTTGATCAATGACTGATCACACCAAATTATGCATTTTCTCTCAGAAACTTTAACTAAGTTTTACTCAGCATAGTTGTAGTACAGGGTGCGATGGATAAATTGTCATCTAAATTATGCAAAAATGAAAATAACCCTGACATCTCGTTTTAACATATATATTTACCAAAATTACACAAAAATATCTTGAAATACTAAAGAGTAAATTTATTCAATAAAATCGCCATTAGCATCAACCATGGCCTCCAGATGGCTTCAGAATCTCCTGCAACTCTTTTGGATGGTCTCCTTGTTTAAGTTGGTAGATGCTACCATAATCCTTGACTTCAGTTCATTTTTGATGTTACAAAAAATTTTGTTGATCAACTGTGCCTCATGCATAATAATCAAGGAGGTTGCAGTCCGGGGAGTTAGGTGGCCAGACGTAAGGTGTGATTTGGTCGCAGAAATTGTTTGACAGCCATGACTGGGTTCATCTGCTTGTGTGGCATGATGCTGTGTCCTGTTGTCAAACATAGGGTCTTCCAGCAGCCACCCTCTTGACCCAGGGCAGAACTACCTCTACAAGGCACTTGATGTAAGTGTTCAGTTTGAGGACCTCACCAACAAATTCGGGAGTTCTTTTTTTTATCAGAATGATCAGAGTGAGTTTTCTGAGCTGCCATACCTTTGTAATCAGCATTAGACTCCTCCAAGTCTTTCTGAATCCTCTTCACTGTCCTCAGCTTGACACTAAACACTCGTATTTTTGTATTATAGTTTCCAGTGTGAATGCCAAGCAGTACAGCATGCTGTTTCCAAATTTATGACAGAATGAATTGTGTCATGGTGCTCTTTTTCTCACAGACGGTGCCCAACTGACCCTACTATACCCGTGCAGTTGATGTTGTACCCTGTATAATCCACAGTGATCCCTGTAAATGCTGAAGAAATACAAATGTGTCTTTTTTGTTTTTGTTTTTTTACAGTAAGTTTCAACTTGTACAAGGCCCAGGGGCAACTTGAGGTAGATGGTTATGTTAGGAGGCAATTTTTACAGATAGGAAGGGAAGATAATAAATAGATTAAGATTGTAGTGATTGGGGTAACATCCTCTTGTGGGTCAGTCCCACAAAACAGTGCCTTGCAGGAAGAAACTGTTCAAGTGTAACTTCTCACCAATCGAATACAGGGGAAATGTGAGTGGTTGCTGCTATATAAATGGCATGGTGTATTCTTGCCATGAAGGTTTGAACAGGTGGGACTAGGGAATGTAGTTCGTCCGAACACTTTCTGTGGAAGTACCAAGAGAGCAATGAGAAGCTTGCTACATCTCACCTGTGAGAGAGAGGTGTACGGTGGAAAATAATTTGTCACCTACAAAGGCTCTATTGAGACTGGAGAGTGAGGAATAATGGAAGAGAAAGTTCCAATATTTTTAGTTATGTGCAACAGGGACTAGTTAGGCCCATTAGTAGACTCCATAATCTCCCAAGACTGACAAATGTTTACTATATATAAGATCTAGCTAAATTTGCTAACTAAATATATCATATATGATTAACACATTATGAACAACTTTATTATGTGTTTTTATGACAGCATATACATTATGTTCTCAAAACTTTATAAAAATGTTTAAATTATTATCAAAAAAGAAAAATTTTGCAATACTTAGCTATAACTGATTAAAAGTTTTGCTATATTAACACTTGTTAGTCTCAGATAAGAATATACTATTGACAGGATATATATTTTTATAAATGCTCTTTCGGACTCTGCATTATAAATATTGCTTCAATTTCTATTGCATTCTTTTTCAAGACCTCTAAATTGCAGTTAATTTCACTCAAATGTGTTTTCAGTTGCCATAGCAGGATATGACAACACAACTATAAAATTCAAACAAATTCCAATGGTTCTATTTAGTTTTAAAAATCAGTAATTCTATGAGCTGGTAACTAGTCTGAAAACAAATAAAAAGTGAGTCAACAGTTTCAAAAAGTGACTAGTAGAAAGGACTAACTAGTACTGTGTCACTTTCTAAGAAACCTGTGCTGACTACTAAGTTAGTAAGTCACCTGGGCACTTCAACGTGGTGTAATGGATAGTGGGATTGTCTTGTTAGATCAGTTATGACTTGAGTAGTGAGTTTGATCCTGACTGAATGCTCCACACTTCTGGCCTTATGCCACATCTAAGCAATGCTTAGAAAATCATTTGGGCACCTTGATGTGGTGTAATGTTTAACAATCTTGTCTTGCTAGATCAATTATTGCTGAGTTGTGAGTTCAATCTTCACTGGTTGCGCCATACTTTTGGCTTTGTGCCACATCTAAGCTATGTTTAGTAAATAGCTGTTATATCTCGTGCAAGATATAATAAACAAAGTAACCCGAGTGTTGGTTTTCAATAATAGGTTTATAATCGGAGGTAAGTGTGTCAAGTACAGAGACAGAGACGGGAGTATGCTAACCTCAAAAGGTGTTAACAAACGAGGTCCTTCTCGACTGTCCGCTGTGGTCGTACTTAATCGGCAACCAGTCTGCCCATTATCGTGAATGGGGAAGTTGGGTTATATCATCACAACAATAGCCATGTCAGTAAATCATTAATTTAGAATTAATTTTTTTTTCCTGTTCTAAGGATTTAATTTGAAATTAATTTATAAAATATTTTTCTTCAATAAAACTTAGGAAAATGAAAAATTGATTTTTCTCACTATAATATCATAGAGAAAATTAAGAAAAATAATAATTACCATTAATGGTTCAGGATAGTTCTTTGAGCTAATTTATTTTGAAGAAACTATTTAAGTTTGCTTCTTTTTAAGTCAACAGAAAAATAATTTTTTTGGTCTTCATTGAAGAAAATATAAAATGAAGTGGAAAAAACCAGTGAAGATTTTTTAAAAAGAAGGAAAAAGTAAAAAGAACAAAAAAAGATAATAACAAAAAAGAAAGAAAATAAAGGAAAAAATATAAAAGAAAATTTAAAAAAAAAAAGAAAAAGATAAAGAAAACAGAAAAAAACAGGGAAAAGATTAAAAAGCAAAAGGGGGAAAAGAAAAAGAAAAAAATATTTATTCTCCCATTAGTATTTCCCCCATTATGGGCATTATAATATCTATAACATAATACAATCATATTTCACAGATGGAACAGAATGGCTGAAAGAAAAAGGAATGGCAAATAAGATTTATTCTCAGAGAGACTTTTATGCTGTTAAGTCATATACACATTTATGTCTACATATTTACATGTGACCTATGCAGAGAAAAATATAACATAGCAATCAGTGAACAAAAGAATGAAAAGATAGGGTTTTACATATAATATGGAGATTCTTCTCTGTTTCTGGAGAAGCAATGTTTAGGACTCCAGATTCAGTGGGGCTGGATTTTTCTGTTATGTACCAAGTGAAGACATATTCCACGAACAGGAAATGGTGAGCCTTTGGTTTTCCCAAATTGAGGACTGCTAGCCAGAGATAGTTTCTTTCTATATCTTGGGAAGATATATTCCCAAAGGAAAATGGCTCCATGTACTTGTAAACTGTAGTGTGTACTGTAGGTGGCATATATAGCCTCAGCCAGGAACAGTTGGCGATAAAAAAATGTAACCTCTATGTTTGATTCATGTAAAGCAAATGAAATTGACTGCCACTTTCATCACTGTATGGAGTGATGTCACATGACTCATGTGACTTTATCTCAACAAAAAGGAGATGATCACTTTTTGTATCTCCACAGATAAAAAAAATAATGAGAAAAAGATTGATAAAAAAAGTAAAAGGTAAAAAAAATAAAAAGAAGAAAAAGAAAAATGAACACGCAAACAACATAAAAAAGATTTTTAAAAAAATGAAAGAAAACATAATTAATGGACCTCCTACCATAGTCAGGTAAATATGACTGGTATTGAGATATTCATTGATCAGTCTGTTGATAATCTCTTCGCTCTCATGAGGAAATCTGATTTTTGAACTGTTGAATAAACATGAAACATTTTAACTGCTTACAAACAATGAGATAACACTAAGTTTAGAAGCAATGTTTATTTTAACACATAGAAAAATGTAAGAGACTACATTTGCATGCATAAATATATATATAAAATATGAAAGTATTAAATGTGGGTACAGCTAATTATGAAGGTGTGGATAGTGTAATGAATTATTACTGGGTAAATAAGTAAGTAATTGTTTTCTTGTAATCATTTCACCGTAAGTAAGGTAATAAAGCCACTAGGATGCAAGGGGTTACTAGGTGTTAGAGAATATGAGAAAAAAAAACTACTATTACAGAGGGAGGACAATAAAAGAACAAGAATTAAGACAGAAGATAATGACTGACATTGAAAAAAATTTAAATTTTTAAATTTAAATTTTTGAAGATCAAAAATTGAAAAGTAAGAAGGCATAAGCTTTCCACAAAATAGAAGAAATGTGATAGAAGAAACTGTTTGCATAAAATTTATGGTTACATCTGACCACGATGTGTCAAAAGGATGGTTTTTCCCTTGACACCACTATTATTTTAACTACCTTCACTCCTCGGCAATGTTTTTTTGCTTTGAAAAGTGATGATTAGAATTGTAATAAAACAAATGATGAAACATATGATGAAAGTGAATGGACACTTTGACGTGGTGTAATGGTTAACAAGCTTGTCTTGCTAGATCAATTACAACTGACTAGTGAGTTCTATCCTCTCTGGGTGCTTCATACTTTTGGCCTTGTGCCATATCTAAGCTACCCTTAGAAAATCATTATATGATAAAAGTGAATTTATACATTTTTGTCTTGAGAATTTACAACAAAAATATTAAACACTATTTTTTAGATTGTTTATTTACAAGAATAATGTTATATTTTTTAACATTTTAAAAACTAATACAATGTAATATTTATCACTTACCAATTTATAACAAAATGAAAACATTTTTTATTCATAAATTTATAAACATTTACTAAATTATTAAAATATGTGAACCAATTATAAGGAAATCCTTATTATATAACATTTTATAAAGTTTGAATCAATTGGCCATTAGCCAATGTTTTGTCAACCATTCCAATAAATAATCTAATAAATAGTGTTTATTATTATTTTTGTCAATTGTCAAGAACAATGAAAATGCATAAATTTACTTTCATATGTTTAGGATTTATTAAAATTAGTATCATTGATTTTTTAAAAATAAACATTGCTGAGGAGTGAAGGTAGTTAAAATAATAGTGGTGTTAAGGGAAAAACTGTCCTTTTGACACATCATTTTTTATGGGCATGACATCTAAAGATTACCTGATTATTTTTACAGTATTAAATGTCTTGAAAGACAAGAAATAAATCTCTCTTTTTCTTTGATGTGCATACTATATATATATATATATATAATTTAAATAAAACCAGACCACTTTAAGGTTCCATGTAATAAATTATTTCATGTTATTATCATGTAATATTAGTCTTACTATATAGTTATTCCTAAATATATTTAGTTAGATTTAGGTTGTTCTTATGTCGGCATTTAAAAACTGTGTATGTATGTATGTATAAATATAAAAATTTGTGAGTTCATATATATAATATTTAAATGTGTCAATGGCTTGACCTCCTCAAATAATTTTGAGTATGAAAGTATAGAAATTTTAAATTACATCTAACTCACTCATATCTTCTCTCTCCCCCCTCACTTCGTTAATTTACATATGCTTAATACGGCCCGTCAAAAATGTGTAAATTTCTTTTCATTTTTTGTTTCAACCTTTGGAAGTAAAGCCTGATGATCCGCAGTCCTTTAAAAGGGCTGTGGTGAAATAATTTATTACATGGAACATTAAAGTGGTCTGGTTTTATTTAAATTATTTGTTCTGGAGTTACATTGAGCTCTCTGGATTTTATCATCCTTGGGTTTACTCATACGGATTACCTAATTTTTTCATAAACTAAATATATATATATATATATATATATATATATATATATATATATATATATATATATATATATATATATATATATATATATATATATATATATAAATAAATTCCCAAGAGGATAGAACTCAATGTCCAGGACAGAATAAGGATATATATATATATATATATATATATATATATATATTGTGATGGAATCATATTTTTAAATAAGAAAATAATTATAATAATTATATATATATATATATATATATATATATATTTATATATAAGTTTAAAAAAAACAGACCACTTTAAGGTACCATTACAATAATTTATTTCACCAAAATCCTTTTTAAAGGATTTCAGATCATCAGGTAACCATTCCAACAATGAAATGAGAGGAAAAATGGAATTAGAATTTGATGGGTAGTGTAATTTTTGTAATTAAACAGGGAGGGTGAAGGTGGCGGTTAAAGAGACAATACAAAGTATAGGGGGTTAAATTTACATCTCTCTTAAATAAGCTTTATATTGGGGTAGGAGGAGGACCTAACCTTGACCTATTTATATTCAAGGTTTAATTACAAAAAATTACACTACCCATCAATTTCTAATTCCCTTTTTCTTCTCATTTCATTGTTGGAAGTGTTACCTGATGATCCGAAATCCTTTAAAAGGATTTTGGTGAAATAAATTATTGTAATGGTACCTTAGAGTGGTCTGTTTTTTCATTAAATATTAGCTCTGTTCTTCACATTGAGCTCTCAGGATTTCATCCTCCTTGGATTTACCAATTCGGTTTACCAAGTTCTTCATAACTTAAATATATATATATAAATATATATAATGAAATGGACAAAGTCCGACAATTATTTTTAAGACATTTTTATGTTTATACATTCTTTGTATCTATAAAAAGATTGTATAAACATAAAAATGTCTTATATATATATATATATATATATACATCACAATAGATATTGTAAACATATAGCTTGGCATATAATTGTTTTTTTACATTCATTTTTAATTCAAAAGTGTATTAGTTGAAAGGTATTAAAATAAAAAAGCTATTAAATGAAATTTAAATAATTTAATTATTATAGATATTAGAAAGATGAATCTTAGCAACATGATAATTTGATAAAAGTTTTAAATGATGTGAAAAATATAACATAATGAATAATGCGAATAATGAAAATAACATAATGAATAATGAGAATAATGAATATATAAGATGAGAATAATAATAAAGATTAATGTAATGATTGTGATTAGTACTATCAACATCATTATCATTATAATAAATAAATTCAGTGTTATTATGGATATTAACACCATTAGAAACAGCACAACAACAACGATAATAATAATAATAATAATAATAATAATAATAACCTTTTATATTTGGCCTCAGTCTTACAAATTTGGTATGTAAGAATAATTGTCATTAGTAAGATGTTTCTTATTTGGTACATTTTTTCAAACACACGGCAGCTGAAGGAACCAAGTGTAATGTTCAGATGTTGGGCAGAAAATGATAGCCAGGGATTAAATTTCTTTTTTTTTTTTAATTTATTCTTTTAAAGGAGTGACACTGAGTTTGAAAGTCTGGTTATAAATTTGTATAATTATTTACACTTGACTTTATCTTTATTCACAAGAAATATCTTGTATATAAACATGCAGGAATGTGAGTTTATCTAAAATAAACATTGTCTAACAGCTGTAAAAAAAAATATTCCATTAAAAAAAAAAATGCCTTTTTTGTAAATAGGATAATGTATTCATATATTTTCTTATGAGACCACTACCATCAACCATCACCACCACCGTCACCACTGGCACTGCTTCAACCAATGGCACCACCACCGCCACCATCATCATTACTATATCCCCTATATAACTATGAACCATCATCATCAACATTGTATGTAAAACAATAATACAAAAGTATAAAATGCAAACAGTATCTACATATGTGTGCATATGTGTGTGTGTTATACTCTGCTTCAAGTGTACAGCCTGTCTGAAGTTATTAAGCAAATCATATAAACTTCAATAATTCAATTTTGGTTTGAAAAAATTGTCAAATTTTAAACAATCAATTTACATGTCAAAACAAAGCCCAAGTTAAAATTTTAGGTAGTATCAATATGTTTTATTGAAGTTATTTGATGTATTCTAAAAAATGCCATTTGAAGTTATTAGGCAAAACCCCTATACTCAGTTTTCTCTTACTTTCCCCTCTCTGTAACCACTTGCATACTAGTGGCACTCTCGTCTTGCTTCAGGGGAATGCTTATAAAAAACAGCAAAAAAATCTTTAACTTCAATACAAAGGTAATAAAATTGCTGTGACCTAGGGAAGGTTACTGAATAGAATAATCACACAAAGGTTGGTAATAAACGGTAATACTTAGGACAAGAACAACATATATATGATTCGACAGCAGTGCATAGAAGAAGTAGTCAACTGCTAGAAGTGAGTCAAGTGAATTCCACAATGAATCTCCAACTGCAGACCATGTACAGTATTCATAACTGTATTTATGGGAATGAGGGCATACCCATTATCGTCTGTAGGTATGCTACAACAAAAATCATCAAAAATTGATCAACACCTATAATAGAACAAATAACAAAAACATATAAGTCTTTAAATCCTTTACATTTTAATATAGTGAGCCTTTTTCTCAATAACAGCCACTAATTTATTATCCATTGATTTTGTTAATTTTTTTTTTTTTACTTCTGCAGATTCAATTTCTAACGTGGTAGTTTTAATTACTTCTCCTAGCTCTGCTTTTCTGTTATATTTTTTACCATCTTCATATAATTTCATCTTCACAACTGACCATAGATTTTCGATCGGATTCAGATCAGGACTTGATCATGGCCATTTCATTATCTTCTCACCTGTAAATCTTTTACATTCAATGAATTCACAGGTAAGCCTAGCTACATGAGAAAGAGCATAGTCATACATAAATACTTTGAAACTGCGAGACTGGGACTTGTACCATGCAAAGAAAGTCTTGTTAATAAAATTGCAATAGTTAGCACTGTTCTGCTTCATCAACTTTGAATGGTCCAATAATGGCTTGGTCAACAATTTTAGCCCATATCCTAACACTACTGCCTCCTTGTTGCATTCTTTTATCCACAGGAATGTCTAAATTGGATAAAATTTATCTTTTGGCCCATCCATCAGGTCCATCACATGCCATTCAAGATTCATCCATGAAAATTACTTTAGAAAAGTCAATATTCATGTATTTCTAGGCCCAATTTTGATGCTTTAAAATATTTGCTTTAGTGAGAGGAGGTTAGCTTGGAAGTTTTTTTACAGATCCCTATTTACATTTTGTTCTTCTTGACTCCCTCAATTCCAGCCTTTTCAAAGATCTGAGCACTGGTCAAAAGTGGTTTACATTCAAGTTGAAGAAGCAAGTTCTTAAAGCTTTTTCCTCTGTTTCAAGTTCTCAACTTAGTTATATTTTCAACAGCTTTTTATAGCTGTGCAATGCTCCTTTGATATCTCTAATGTGGATATTCCCTCATTCAAGAATTTTGTTATTTTCTATTTTTCATCAATTGTTAGATCCTTTCCTTTAACAATGTTTCAACATATATTATGGACAAAAAAAAATAGTTTTTAGATTTCAGAGGTCTTAAGCTAATATTAGTGTAATCTGCATACTAACTTCAGTCAGTATATTTTTGTAAATTCCAAATATGTCAAAAACTCACCATTAAAAATGGCAGAAGATTTAGCAAGATATTTTACTAAGCGTGGATTTAGATGAGTTTAAATTTGACAAATATTGGTCCAGAACTTTTTGAGTTATTGAAGTTTATTTGATTTGCATAATAACTTCAGACAGGCTGCAGATTTCTTTCTGATTCACTCTACATCAAAACTGGTTGGCCATATACGAATGCTACAAAAGCAAAACTTAAATTAAAAAAATCACTCTCTGTACAGGGGCTCTGAGTGTCACATTCCTATCAATCAGAGACTGCCTGAGCAAACAAGGTTACCTTAAAGATATTCATAATGGGACCAGATTGGGCCAAGTTTATGTGCTACTTTTATCAAAACCTGTCAGTATATCATGCACATTTGTCTGTAATTGTTATAGTGGGACACATCTATTCTATAGTAAATAGACTCTCCCACCTATAATAAGTAGGAGTAGTAAGACTAACGAGGGAGTCGATCAGTTCGTTGATGTCGGACAACGTTTAGTCGAATACTAAAGTATCAGCGACCACAACTAGATTACTCTGCGTTATACCTATTATATGAAGTTGCTAACGTTTTGTACGTCGAACCTATTTTAGGACCGACTTAGTACAAATACAAGCCTCCACTGTGAAGACTCCACAACAGTAATGCATGCACCTGGTATACCCCTATCATACTGACATACTGAGTGTCATGATGGGGATATTGGGCTTCATATATTTGTGCCCAAGGATCAATTTATTGGCACGTTGCACTCTCACTCAATAATAATAATAATAATAATAACAACCTAGAAACTTGAAAGAGCACTTAAGGAGATTTGGAATTGAAACCAAGATTGTTGAGCTCTAGAAAACTAGTAATCCTTTATTTTGTGAGGATGACACCATGCCTGAAGAACACAATTTCTATTGACTATGTCAATGTGTGGCACCAACATAATAATAATAACAACAACAACAACAACAACAACAACAGAAGACTACCTAAAAACTTGAAAGAGCACTTAAGGCAAATTGGAATTGAGGCCAAGATTGTAGACCTCTATAAAACTAGTAATCGTTTATTCTGTGAGGATTCTCCAAAAAGTTCTTGAGTTGTGAGGAGTCTTGATGACACCATCCCTGAAAATAATATTGTAGGCAAGATGATCTGTCAAATAATCATGTAATGGTGCAGCGTGTATTTTGTTGGAATTTATAATAAATTATTACTGAAACTGGAGTTCATTTTAACAGTTGTGACATACACAGATCTTGTTGTAGATCATATGCACCCCTTTCAGTTCACCCTGTTTCTAAGCTAGAATGACTCTGTCAGCAGGGCTAAGAATGTACTAATTGTATCCCTGAAGTGAGGTACCTATAAAATAAAGATGTCAGTTGTTGGCAATGGATAATAAAAATTGATGCCTGAGGATGGGATCCCAGTGTCCATGAGTAGCACAAGTTTGATTCCTGCCAGAAAGCAAAAATTTTCTTTGATAAGATTTCTTGGACAGCCAGGCTGGTAGATGAAAATGAATAAAGGTACAGTTTAATAAATAAATGGAGCATCTACTCAAATATGAGTATCCACCAAAAATAATGACTACATATATATATATATATATATATATATATATTTTGAACAATAAGAAAATAAAAAATAAAAAATTAAAATCTTTGGACACATTGGGTTGTAGATTAATATTCTTTCGTTTTTTTTTATTATTATTCCATTTAGATTCCTCGACTAGTTTCGACCGAAATGGCCATCATCGTGAGGAGAAATATTTCTGCTTGCTGGTAGCAGTGAACTACAGAAATGAATGTCTTGATGGAGAAAATGAACTTTTGTCTGTAGTTTTCATTTGTTTTTTTATTTTTTATTTTCTTATCTTTTTAACATGAATCTTTTAACATTCCTTGTGTTGGTCAAACAGTCTCTTTTAAGTTGTTATCTGAAATAAGAGCTGGATAGATACATATTATTCTGAATTCTCTGGTCAGTTTGACAGTTTTATTGGACCTGGTGAGGGGATGTGTCTCTGTTTAGTGTTTGTGTGTGTGTTATTTGGTTCTTAGGGAGTGAGTGAGTATGATATGTGTAAGCGTGTGTATTGCTGTAGGTGTGTGTTATATATATATATATATATATATATGTGTGTGTGTGTGTAAAATATATATAAAATATATATATAATGTATATATATATATATATATATATATAAAATAAAAGGAAGAGGTTATAGTAGTTTCAATGAGAGAAAAGTGTGTATATTAAAAAGAAGAGAGAAACCGCAAATGTTTTTGGTTGTATTGTGGATTTAAAAAAAAAATATTATGCTTTATTTTCCATAATTTTGCTACACGTGTTTCTGCTCTCACAATCGTCATCAGGCAAAGGGTGGAAATTTTCACATATTAAAAAAATAATTCATTTTTTTTTTATGTTTTTCAATTTTAAATATTCTTGATATGAGACATTTTCTTTTTTGTGTTAGTGATCCAAATGTCTTTCTTGAACTGGCAGGGAAAGGTTCTGTGTGAAGTGTTATAAAACAGTTAAGATTAGTTTGAGAAATGATCGAGTAGTTAGCAGCATTCTTATCTTTTAATGACCCATGTGTGTTCTTAGATCTATTTCCATTTTTGTGTGCTTTTGTCAGCATGCATATATGTGTATATCCCCTCTCCATACATACACACTGTCTCACTA